AGTTTGTTAACAACATGTTGGTTGGCAAAATGTTTGAGCCGCTAATCAACTCAAAGTGGCTAAAACTGTCTTTGCAGTTCACATCACACGCATTGGCCCCTTTATCCTTCTGGTAATAGGTAAAGCAAAAAATTACACCAAAAAATTAAGCAAATGAAATCTAGCATTTAGGTATGAGTTTGAGTAATCATAAAGAAAATTAATGTTTAGAAGTTGTCCCTTTTTTTTGGCACAGTAATTGTTGCATTAGTCTGCATGCACTGCTTCAAATATCAACGGAATGATGTCTTTTAAGGTTAAAGTTTTGAACCAGTTGTGTTGGAGCTGAGATGTATATCTTAAACATGTATGGCATTCATGGATCAATTAAAGTGATAGGCATTGTAGGTGGTTTCAGCATGAATATTCAGTTTATTTTAAAAAAGGTAACCTAATTTCAACACAAGATGAATGTTCTGAGTGAATAATCACTTTTCCCTCTCGACTCATGAGGAGAACCTCCTCGCTGTCTGACCACTGCAAGTAAAAAATCCTAAAGTAGTGTTCTGCCAATCAGCATCGAGCTAAGAGCTATAGCCTCAATGGAAGTGATATATTTCTCTGTACCAGAGGTCACGGATTAGCGGACTAGGGTCCGGATCCGGACCCACCTGCTGGCTGATCCGTACCCAACCTGATTTAAAGCATTTATAAATGACTACATGTTGTCGACAGCGTCTAAACATCACTTGCGCCGCTTCTCCTGTTTGTATGGTAAAGCCATCTGGAACGTCAAACACCAGGCTCCACGTGATACAAATTATTCAGGGAGCTGTGTCAGAGTTGCTGCTGCTGCTAGCTACTTTAAGATACAGCAGGCTAACCTGTATCAAACTGGGCGATGGGAAAGAAGTAGAAGACAATGAGAAAAACAGAGCAGAGAAGAACTACGGTAAACTAGTGAAAGAAAAGTAAAATGGTGTGCTCAAAGATGACCCTGCACATTTTAGCTCAACCTACTGCTGTGAAGCAGGATTCTCCATCATGAATATACTCATAAATAAATATTAATTCAGGCTCAAAAGGAGCACCTTGGTATGTGCTTAAGAATGGCTTTGTCGCCATTCAAACCCAGGCTAAAGCCGTGCAGGTCAGCCTAAAGCCCTCTTCTGTCATTAAGCCATGAAAAAGTTCAGGCGTTTTTTGTTTTTTTAAGGTGAGTCAGGAAATTGTCTATATACCAAACTGAAAGATTGCTGTTCTCTACTTCAGAAAAGTAGAGAAAATTTAGATTTTAAAATGGAAAAACGTTCTATTTTTCATATTTTTCATTTAACAATTCAACATGGATGCATAAACACCTGGATTTTATTTCAGTGTTAAATACTAGTTAAAGTAATGGATTATTATTGAAACATGTCTCCGGACCTTTACTGGTTGTTGATTTTCTTTATTCGGACCCCGCTGATTTATAATTGGTTACCCCTGCTCTAGAGGCTTAGTTCAAGAGACAGAGGCTCAAACCTCAACAGGGATTTCTCATACAGGCCGACAGGCGTCCGGGGGAGATGGCGTCCGAGAGCAGCTGATAAATGATAGCGCATATTTCATGCAGTTTAATGACTACATTTATTAAGTCTGACAACGCACATTTTACCAAGAATTTTAAGAAATTTACAGGGGAGGTTTAGCCTGCCTAGTATTTAATGGGAAATCACCAGAGGTTCATAGCTACCCAAACTTCGTCCTACCACTGCTCTTATTGCTGTTTCGTATCAAACAGAGGAAAAGGACAACAATAGCTTCTAGCTGCTGAACACAGTGACCAATTAGGATGGAGAACCAGTTCCAGTCCAGAATAAATACACACGGGCATATAATTTGTTCCTCTCTCTTGGTGCTTAAGCGTTTTCAATTGGGATTAACATGCTGGACTCTGTTACAGTGCCAAGTCTCAGCTTTAATTTGACGAGGCCCAAATTTCAAATAGTTCATTATTAATTAGATACCTTGCCCAGTAACGATGCCTGACCACTACTTGTTTTGGTTCAGAATCAGAAATACTTTAATGATCCCAGAGCGAAATTACTTTTGTTAAACGCTCCAGTTACAGTTTTATATATATATATATATATATACAGTGATGGGCAGTAGCGCCGCTACATGTAGCGAAGCTATTAGTTTAACTACATTTTCAAGTAGCTTGACCGTAGCGTCGCTGCTTTATTTATCAAGTAACTTTCCTGTAGCGACGTTATTGTTTTGATCAAGTAGCGACGTAGCGTCCACAAACGCTACAAAATCCAGGGCATAACTAAGAAATGAAACCAGGTTTTCTATTTCTAAACAACAATCAGCCACAAAACTACTGTAAATAGCAGTTTCAGCTGACGCTTTATAAGTGGCGTAGTAGCACAGGCACACTCAGTAGGGTTAAACAAGCGCACCCTTTCCGAGGCTGTCTTTCTATTGGCTGGAAAGGTTGCTAGGCAACGTTCCTACTGCAGTCTGAGAGAGCAAAACAAATCCGCAAGCAGAGCCTATGGGTTTGCGAGCGTAACTGAGGCCCGTGCAGAGCGCGGTTTGTGCGCGAAGAGATGGAGGCAAGCGAGAGGAGAAAATATCTGTGATAATATAGAAAATATCTGTTTAAATCTGAGAGAAGAAACAAAGATTTTTGAGAGAAGAGAAAATATTTGAGAGAGAGCGCATGTTTTGAGTGTGAGCATTATAAGTTTTGAGTGCAAGAAGATGAAATTATTTTCTCTAATTGAAGTTATGTGCTCTTGCATTATGGCAGGATAATTCTCCCATATCTATGTGCCACTAAGATACTCTAATTAGAGAGCAGTAATGAAACTTCGATATTGTATTTTCATGGCCTAGTTATACCTGACAGGATGTTTACATAAATCTGTTTTTAGGCTGTGCACAGAAATAAATAAATGCTCAATAAATAAATAAATAAGCATTCAATTAATTGCCTCCAAAAATACAATGAATAAATATGTAGGTAGAAATTAAATTATATGGTGAGTCATATATATATGTATCTCTTAATTAGCTTCTTTATTTTTTTACCTTCTTTTGTAAACAATTTTGTTTGTTACTTGAATCAACTGTTTAATTGGGATCTTTTGTAGGGTTTCGTTTTCCCTAGAGATGTCCATTGAATGCAAACTCATAGCCATGTCTCCATGTGTAGAACACTACACAGTACCTTTAACTTGGTTCTAATAACAGCAGATTGTTTACTAGTTTGTCTACTAGTAATTACTTTAGTTTTTATTTTAATATGCTGATCATAAAGCAATGTTTACACTGTGTTATGTCATTGGCTGATCTTTAATAAATATTTTAACCAGTGTATCAGACTCATTTTGAATTGACATTAGGTTGGTACAACGTTAAGTAGCTTCTGATGTAGTTAAGCTACTTTTAACACATTAGTGTAACTTAGCTTGCTATAATTCTTTAGGTGGTAGCTTTGGTGTAGTGAAGCTTAATTTATTGTTGAGTAACTGATAGCTTAGCTCACTACACTGGACAAGTAGCTTGCCCAACACTGTATATATATATATATATATATATATATATATATATATATATATATATATATATATATATATATATATATATATATATATATATATATATATATATATATATATATATATATATATATATATATATATATATATATATATATATATATATATATATATATATATTTATACATCCAACTACACAAGATGATAAAGATAAAAATAAAAATAAAAAAGATAAAAATATATACACATAGCTCTTCTGTATATATATATATATATATATATATGTATGTATATATATATATATATATATATATATATATATATATATATATATATATATATATATATATATATATATATATATATATATATATATATATATGTATGTATATATATCCATATGTAAAACTAAATTCAAGCAAAGTGATAATCCAAGTAAAGTGATAGTTCATGGTCATCAAAGCTCACCAGCAGCTCGAGGGTCTGGTTTTGAAGATGTGATTTAGTTAGTTGTCAACAACAGGGGCCAGTATGTCAGAAAGATATAAAGCTTTGTTTTTGTTTTTTTGTTTTGGTATTCTGCAGTTATCCATAGTTAAATATTTTAAGTTGACTGTTTTAATGTGAGTGCACATGATTCCCTCACATTACTCCAGGATGCTTAAAAGCCTTGGAGTAGATTCTTAGAATGTTTAAATCTGTACGTCTCATTTTGTTAGCCTTTGATTATTGTTGAGAGTAGAGCCAGCCTTTTGAAATTGGCTCTAGGGTGTTTGTTGTCTGATGGTTTGAACCCCCAGCTAAACTGTTATGCTGATATTTACTGGATATTTCATCTCTGCTAAAGAATTGCCATTTCCAAATGCTCGACCTTATTAACTCAGCGAGGCACAGTTCTGAATGTGTTGTTTAGGTGAAACTTTCACATTATAGCTTAACCAAATGCCTCCTGGCTATGACAAACCAGAGAAACAAAATTTAGGAGCCACTGCTCAAACCCAAACACATCTATCTCTGGGACCCTAATAGGTAAGGCTTGAGTTAGAGAGCTGCATATAGCCTAGAGCTGTAGCACTGTCAGTGATTGGACGGCTGGGTTTATGGGCCTGTGTCTGAACTTTATTATGGAACGTTCAATAAACTGTTTTACTCTGGTAATGTCCGTCCATTTGAGTGGCAGCAAAATGCCACAGGAAAACCATCATGTTGAGTTTTATTGCCAGTTTTCTGTCCCTTTTGATTTATTCAGGAATGTTATTTTAAGCTCCAGCTGAGCAGAGCAAAAGTTCTTTAATAAAAACTTTTTTTTGAACAGTGCAAAAAATGTTCAGAGGATACAAATGAGGTTGGCTTTTGTTCATTAGAAGGTGACTCTTCTATTCTGAGATACTGCTGACTCATCAGTCTGTGCTAAATTAAAAGGCATAAATTTAGCATGTAAAATTAAGGCGGATTTTTCTGTCTCTCTAGGTATGAGATTCGGGACATACATCTCGTGGAGGAGAGCGTTCTGGAAAGCCTGAAGCTGAAAACTGACTTCCAGAATTTCAAGCCGCGACCTTTTAACATGCTGGAATTCTACGACCGTACCGGTCACGACATTAACGACATGCTGCTGTCCTGCCACTTCCACGGCACAGAGTGCAGACCAGAGCACTTCAAAGTGGTGAGTGTTTTTCCCTTCAGAGATTTTGTTCTTCCCAGCGGCTGTGAGTCTCCTGAAGCCACAGCCAAGGTTCTGGGGCTCCAGTTGCTGCCAGTAAATATTTGGAAGCTGAAGAGCAAACATTATGGCCAAGGTTTTCATTTTGTGAGCTGGTCAATGTTTGAGCACATCTAAGATTCATGAAGAGAGTTTTTTTTATCCACATTATTTCCCCCCTTTAGCTCTTCACAAAATTTTCACTTGCTAGCAAAGCCAACGCAAATGCAGTTAGTCAATGGAGAGCAGCCTCAACAAAGAGAGAAAACATTTTAAGCAGCTTAATTGTTAACCTCCTTAATCATTAGACAACATAAAGGGGTGTTAGTGCAGAGGTTGCAGGGAAGTATGGCTCTATGTATTCAAAATAGGAATTGATGACTTGAATCCATTGACAGGTACTGAATTTTCATCACAATTTTCGTGATAAGTTTGTAATCCTAAATCATAGGCAGGAATCCCATTTGAATTATAGACCTTTAAATTTTTTTGTTTAAATTTTTTTTTCCAACATTAAAAATGATTATGCAGCCACTAAAATTAATCTAATTATTGTGGATGTTCTCAAATCTCTGATATATATGAACTTATTAACATTTGGATGTATATCCTATGTGCCTTTTATATGAATCAAGTTTCTGAGATAATTTTGGTTGGATGTTTCGAAACACAACTAGGAAAAACTGGAAGAGATCATTAAAACTGGTTGGTTTCATGGTATTGTCCAGGATTTTAAACATTATTCTAAAACTTTGGGATGTTGAAGGCCTAAAAAGGCCATTCCAGAGACTAAGGTTATATTTTTACCCCTGACACATTTGCTTCATTTGTTACAGACCTTTTGTGCAGGTATGAATAAAGATAAGAGGACTCCAGTCCTGGCTAAACAACCAGACTGAGACCCTCTATTTTAAGTGTTCTTGGTCTTTTTCCGAACTAACTGCGTTGCATTTCACCTCGTGTATGAATAAAAACTGGTCTTGGTCCGACTCAAATGCAGCAACCATACAACTCATTGGACTCAGAAAGCCACTATAGGAGTAGATGTAATATCAGAATCATACCTGTTCCACTGTCTGTTGCTTAGGAACATTGCTGCCAACATCTTGTGGATCTCCCCCTGGCTTAAAGGAGGCATTCTCCAAAACAAACAACAATATTTTAAGTAAAATGTCTCTAAATCTGAGCTGCTCTCAAATTTCAGACTTTATAAACTGGTTTAAATCTAAAATTCTCCATAAGTATCTACACTGAGTTTCATTAAAATCTGTTCAGTGGGTTCTAGATAACAAGTTATCACCATGCAGGGGAAGAGAAAACACTACTTAAAGTCAAACATGACTGAGTTTTAGCTGCTTCAGTCAATAGACATGCAATAAGTATAGTTTTTCCTCTTTTTTTTAACTCCATTTCATGGAAATCGTTTGGGGAGATCTAAAATGTGTGTCTGTGATGAATGATACATTACTTCTAGGTCCTTACCCACCAATTCAGTTCCAATTGAATTTTATCAAACTAGGTCAAACTTTTCATACTATGTCTGGTTAAATGTTGTTTTTTTTGTGTGTAACAACTGTTAAGATCATAACACAGCATTATAGTGTGTAGTGGGAAAAAGTATTCAACTATTCACCCTAGTTAAATAAACGGAGATTGATGGATTTCACTCAGTCGGCACATTATTTTCATATCTTTGCAAAGAGAGAACAGTTCATCATACAACCCTTACTGCTCTGTATTCAGCCCCGTTGTGCCTGGGCAGAGTGTCTGCCCCTTACTTACGACAATGGAAAGCAGTCAGAGTCAAAACAAATTACAGACACTTTGGTTAAACAGTAACATGCTATGAATAATTCTTGAGAAAGAATCTGGCTTTTTTATGAAAGAAGCCATGTCTGGTCTACAAACATCCTCATGCAGGATAATTGTGTGGCCTTGCAGGTGAAACAGACTGAGTGAAAACTTTATAGTGAGTAAATAGAATAAATTAATATATGAAATGAGAGAAATCTAAATTTTCCGACCACAGGTGACTAATATTAGATGACATGAGACATCACATTAAGTCATCACATCTGGATTTTAATTGATGTGTAGTTACAGAAACTAAAGTGGTATAACATTACATACATTATTAGCATCTGCCCCCGCAGATATTTCCCCAGGGGAGCTAATGTGCAGGTTCTTTTTAATGTAATGATTCTGCTGCACAATGCAGAATCATGGCGTGATTTACATGCATGGTATTTATGGGGTTTTTTTCTCCACTGCTGGAGATTGTGAGCATTTCAAAAGCGAAAGAAAAATCTTTTTTCACTTCTACTACAAAGTCATAAAGATTATTAAAAATTGGATACATATTTTCCTTAATTTATCCAAACCGTAGAAATGATTATATTCTCCAGAGGGGCAACAAATACCTTTTTATAAATTATTATTGTAAAAATTGAATGAGAATACTGTTACCTATTAAAATGCATTTATTCTGAAATAGAGTTTTATGAATAATGTGCCTATACAGGGATTCCCCATTACTAAACATGTTTGCATTTTGACACATTATAGACACTAACTTTAATTGCATTAATATAAGAGTGACCACCAAAAAGCAGAGTATAAAAGCGAAATTAGAATTTGTTGTAATTCTGCATCAAAATGAATATTATCATTGCTGATTGTAAGATGGATGCAGCTTACTACAGAGCAAAGTCTGGGTACTGGGCAGAGGCTCATCTTTCAACAGGAATCTGACCTTAACTGTACAACAGGTGCAGAAATGAGGAGAATGAGACTACTGTCATATTGGCTTTCAGGGATCTAACCCACATGCAGAACACTCAGAGACTGGGAAAAAGTTCACAAGTTTATTGAATAATATTTTACAATAAAGAACACTGGTTCTGGGATAAACTGGGTCCGGGTCTGATCACGACTGGTTTTCTCTGCAGAGAGGGACAGATTGGTTAGCAGACTTTCAGTGGACTTGCAGGTTGAGTGTTTGCAGGTCTATACCTGATCAGAGATGAGCAGAGCAGTAAAAGGGGGGAACCAGGAGGGTCCAGAGGCTGAAGGCAGGCAGAGGGCTAGGCAAAGGCAGGGCAGAGCAGATAATCTTACTGAGCAGATTCTGAGCTTCTCCCTCAGCTCATGCTGAGAGCGGGCAGGCAGGTTTTCAGACTGAGTGGATTTCCAGGGGTTCTACTGAGAACAGACAACTTGGTCTCACGTTTTGGAAACCCTTCCAGGTCTTCAGGTTTCCAGGCAGGTTCTTCCTGAGAAGCAGAGAGGACAAAAAGCAGGTTAGGTTCAGGTTCAGGCTTCAAGGGAGTCAGAGATACAGACAGGCAGGTTGGCTCAGGTTCGCTAACCATAACTGGCAAACACTCTGGCGTCGGATTGTAGCTCTGCCCCTCCTTAAATGCTGGTCCCCTGATGAGCTCATGAGCCGCAGGTGTGGTGGTCAGCTTCAGCCCCAGGAGACCTAGAACGTCCTCTGCTGGAGAAAGGTGGACAGACCTCCAGATCCCAACAACTACGGCTGTTCATGAAAATATCAATTACATCTCTGTTAAAAGCTGCAATCAGTATTGATTACCACTAATTTTCATTTTCTTTGCCTTTTTACCTCCAAAGTCCAGACCAAAATGCAATCTTACACCTTAAAGAGGCTGTTCACAGATGCCTGTTATTCAATCTGACTGAGCTGGAGCTATTCAGCAGAGAATGGGCAAATATTTCCTCCTATAGCTGGTTTAGACAGTAAAACAGATTTATTGTTATTGCAGTAAGAAGGTGGTTCAACACGAGGCTGGACACAAATACTATCAAAAATCTTGTATCATTTTCCTTCTACCTAACTGCTGTGTGTCATTCTTTCATATGCAATTCCGGTAAAATAAAATACATTTTGTAGTTGCAGGATGACAAAATGTACTTTATTATGATTGAGATTAATGTTTAATTTCTTAATAAGGGCACAAACATTCTTAATATACACAAATATTCCTATAATAACGAAACCAACTTAACAAAAAAAATTCCTATTTGTAATCTTTGTTGTAAAAGCTTGCGAATTTCTTTTTTGTTGTTTTTTTGCAAAGTAGTAAAGTTTTACTAAGTGTGATCACCCTTGAACTTGTCTTCAAATCACATAATAACCAGCCCTCTAATGAATTTACTAACCCTTTAAGTGTGAACAGGAAACATAATTTCCTCCACCAAATAGTCCCTTTGAGCCGTGGGAGGAAGCTTGTGGTTGTGTGGTGCTGTAATGATGCCAGAGAATAGAGCATGTCTCCTTAACCCAACCGTTGCATCACTTTTTTTGCACGGATGAACACATCTTTCCTAACATTTGATTAGTTCTGCCTCAGCTCTTTCAGATGCTGGAATATGAAATGTAGAGATGTGAACACATGAAACATGAGGCACGTCTAGGAATCCTGCTGAAGCATCTTGCTGGTCCCTTCATGTTTTATCTAAATCAAAGGGAATGACATCTTATTTAGTTGGATCAGTCCGGGCGGGATTTTAAACCTGAAACCCACCCTTCCTTTTTATTATTATCAGATGTAATAGAGGCTCTAAGAGGGGTCTGAGAAAATCGCATTTGGCAAGAAGAAAGTGACATTAGAAAGGTGCTTTGCCACCAGAGAGGTTTAATGTCTTGATACCTTTCTCCTTATCATCCTTTTCTAATCTACATCACATCACATCTACCAAGCTGTAAAATACACTTCCTTTGAAGGCCGCCTTTGATGCGAGGCATTGTTAATCTTTACTGCATTCCTCAGCAATGTGCCTGATGAATAAAGAAAGAACTATATCCCAACTGACTGATCTTTGTGAAAAGATAAAACACAAAATGAGGGCCTATAATAGTATGCCTCATTCTGTCTGTTATAAGATTGCAGAATCAGCTCCCAAATTAATGAACAGGACTGGTTTGGTTTCATTTGAATAAG